CTGTCCAGCCATGCCAACCCTTTTTGCCCTGGGATCAAAACGGGAACTACAAAATCCTCTTGTTTTCCTCGGTCAATCGCCGTATCTCCATCTTCGCTGCCCTCAATTCTTCCTTAAGTTGCTGGTAAAGTTGCTCGATGGAGGGCATCTTGGTTCAGTCCACGGGAGCAAACAAGACACTTCTTCACAGAGTTAAGTATAGGTCAGCACTCAAAGTACAGGTCACCACTCAAGAGCACACAAACAGGTCTTCACAGTCCCTCAACCTTGAGTCGATGTGTTCAGTCCATCAATCTTGAATAGAATACCAAATCTTGAATAGAATACCTCAATCTTGAATAGAATACCTTGAAAGGTGCTGTTAGTGTGCAGCAATATTCCAGCCTAAATAGAACAAGTGACCTGCAGAGTGTCATCATGGGCTTGGCCTCCCTAGTTTTGAAAGTTCTCATTATCCATCCTGTCATTTTTCTAGCAGATGCGATTGATACAATGTTATGGTCCTTGAAGGTGAGATTCTCCGACATGATCACTCCCAGGTCTTTGACGTTGGTGTTTCGCTCTATTTTGTGGCCAGAATTTGTTTTGTACTCTGATGAAGATTTAATTTCCTCGTGTTTACCATATCTGAGTAATTGAAATTTCTCATCGTTGAACTTCATATTGTTTTCTGCAGCCCACTGAAAGATTTGGTTGATGTCCGCCTGGAGCCTTGCAGTGTCTGCAAATTTATTATCGTTCTTAACTAGGGAGGTGTCAACAAGAGCAGATGCAGCCCTGCCAGAAGACTCCTTTTTAGATCCATCAGTGTATGTAACTTGTGATAACATATTACTAACAGCTAAGCCAGAAATTTCTTCTTGAACAGTTGCTTTAACAAGTGATATAAGGAAGGGATTATTAACAATGAGCTTCTTGGGAGGGACTTGCAGGTATGTGATATTAAATGAACACATCTTCAATGGAGGGGTGAAATGCTCTTGTTGTCTACAGCGATACAGTTCATGCAGGTTATAAAACTTAATATAATTACATGTTTTTACATTGCATTTAGATCTGCAGTTGTTTGCATTTAGATCTGCAGCTCAACAACTCACAGCAGCGGCAAAACTCACAGCAGCAGCACAACTCACAGCAGGCAGCACGACAACTCACAGTAGCAGAACGACACCTCAAAGTAGCAGCAGCACGACAACTCACAGCAGCAGCACAACTCACAGCAGGCAGCACGACAACTCAACAGCTGCACGACAACTCACAGCAGCAGCACGACAGCTCACAGCAGCAGCACACCTCACAGCAGCAGCACAACAACGCATAGCAGGAGCAGCACAACTCACAGCAGCAGCACGACAACTCACAGCAGCACAACTCACAGCAGGCAGCACGACAACTCACAGCAGCTGCACGACAACTCACAGAAGCAGCACGACACCTCAAAGCAGCAGCACGACAACGCATAGCAGGAGCAGCACAACTCACAGCAGCAGCACGACAACTCACAGCAGCAGCACAACTCACAGCAGGCAGCACGACAACTCACAGCAGCAGCACGACAACTCACAGCAGCTGCACGACAACTCACAGCAGCAGCACGACAACTCACAGCAGCAGCACGACAACTCACAGCAGCAGCACGACAACTCACAGCAGCAGCACGACACCTCACAGCAGCAGCACGACAACGCATAGCAGGAGCAGCACAACTCAGAGCAGCAGCACGACAACTCACAGGAGCAGCACAACTCACAGCAGGCAGCACAACAACTCACAGCAGCAGCACGACAACTCACAGCAGCTGCACGACAACTCACAGCAGCAGCACGACAACTCACAGCAGCAGCACGACACCTCACAGCAGCAGCACGACAACTCACAGCAGCAGCACGACAACTCACAGCAGCAGCACAACTCACAGCAGCAGCACAACTCACAGCAGCAGCACGACAACTCACAGGAGCAGCACAACTCACAGCAGGCAGCACGACAACTCACAGCAGCAGCACGACAACTCACAGCAGCAGCACGACAACTCACAGCAGCAGCACGACAACTCACAGCAGCAGCACGACAACTCACAGGAGCAGCACAACTCACAGCAGGCAGCACGACAACTCACAGCAGCAGCACAACTCACAGCAGCAGCACAACTCACAGCAGCAGCACGACAACTCACAGGAGCAGCACAACTCACAGGCAGCACGACAACTCACAGCAGCAGCACGACAACTCACAGCAGCAGCACGACAACTCACAGGAGCAGCACAACTCACAGCAGGCAGCACGACAACTCACAGCAGCAGCACGACAACTCACAGCAACAGCACGACAACTCACAGCAGCAGCACGACACCTCACAGCAGCAGCACGACAACTCACAGCAACAGCACGACAACTCACAGCAGCAGCACGACAACTCACAGCAGCAGCACAACTCACAGCAGCTGCACGACAACTCACAGCAGCAGCACGACAACTCACAGCAGCAGCACGACAACTCACAGCAGCAGCACAACTCACAGCAGCTGCACGACAACTCACAGCAGCAGCACGACAACTCACAGCAGCTGCACGACAACTCACAGCAGCAGCACGACAACTCACAGCAGCAGCACGACAACTCACAGCAGCTGCACGACAACTCACAGCAGCAGCACGACAACTCACAGCAGCAGCACGACAACTCACAGCAGCAGCACGACAACTCACAGCAGCAGCACGACAACTCACAGCAGCAGCACGACACACTCATGGTGGCAGGCGCAGCTCAGTTGACAGTTCAGTTTGTAAATAATCATGGCGGACGACACTGGTGCTGAAGCCTCGTCCGGGGCTGCCACCCACGACCCATGCCACTCCATCCTGCCCACGGTGCTACACATGATAGACGACAACAGCGCCCACTTCAGGAACGATGACTCTGAGTACGGACAGAGACTGCACAGCGGGTTTGTCCTGCTGAAGGAGAACATGGAGAAGGTGATAACACTCTCAGAAGCTGTGAGGAAGGAAGCTCATCTCTATGACTTTGACCCACAGACTCCAGGCAACGGCTTCAGAAGCTTCAACAACATCGTGCAACAAGCCATCCTCAGTGTCTTCGACCTGTGCAAGCAAATCTGCACTAACAGGGACTCCCTCCTCTTCAGGAAAGGTCATTTTGTCAGGTAATATTTTTAGGTTGATTACTGACAATTTCTGCTGACACTATTGTTAGTACAACTGCCAAGATGGACTGTGTGGGTGGAGGGTGGTTGGAGTGTCAAGTGTGGGTGGAGGGTGGTTGGTGTGTCAAGTGTGGGTGGAGGGTGGTTGGTGTGTCAAGTGTGGGTGGAGGGTGGTTGGTGTGTCAAGTGTGGGTGGAGGGTGGTTGGGTGTCAAGTGTGGGTGGAGGGTGGTTGGTGTGTCAAGTGTGGGTGGAGGGTGGTTGGTGTCTGTGGGGAGGTGGTTGGTGTGTCAAGTGTGGGTGGAGGGTGGTTGGTTGTGTCAAGTGTGGGTGGAGGGTGGTTGGAGTGTCAAGTGTGGGTGGAGGTGGTTGGTGTGTCAAGTGTGGGGGGAGGGTGGTTGGAGTGTCAAGTGTGGGTGGAGGGTGGTTGGTGTGTCAAGTGTGGGTGGAGGGTGGTTGGAGTGTCAAGTGTGGTGGAGGGTGGTTGGTGTGTCAAGTGTGGGTGGGGGGGGGATTGGAGTGTCAAGTGTGGGTGGAGGGTGGTTGGAGTGTCAAGTGTGGGTGGAGGGTGGTTGGAGTGTCAAGTGTGGGTGGAGGGTGGTTGGTGTGTCAAGTGTGGGTGGAGGGTGGTTGGAGTGTCAATGTGGGTGGAGGGTGGTTGGGAGTCAAATGTGGGTGGAGGGTGGTTGGAGTGTCAAGTTTTGGGTGAGGTGGTTGGTGTGTCAAGTGTGGGTGGAGGGTGGTTGGTGTGTCAAGTGTGGGTGGAGGGTGTTGGAGTGTCAAGTGTGGGTGGAGGGTGGTGTGTCAAGTGTGGGTGGAGGTTGGAGTGTCAAGTGTGGGTGGAGGGGGGTGGTGTCAAGTGTGGGTGGAGGGTGGTTGGAGTGTCAAGTGTGGGTGGAGGGTGGTTTGGAGTGTCAAGTGTGGGTGGAGGGTGGTTGGAGTGTCAAGTGTGGGGGGAGGGTGGTTGAGTGTCAAGTGTGGGTGAAGGGTGGTTGGAGTGTCAAGTGTGGGTGGAGGGTGGTTGGAGTATCAAGTGTGGGTGAAGGGGTGGTTGGAGTGTCAAGTGTGGGTGGGGGGTGTTGGAGTGTCAAGTGTGGGTGGAGGTGTGTGGTGGAGTGTCACGTGTGGGTGGAGGTGGTTGGTGTGTCAAGTGTGGGTGGAGGGTGGTTGGAGTGTCAAGTGTGGGTGAAGGGTGGTTGGAGTGTCAAGTGTGGGGTGGAGGGTGGTTGGAGTATCAAGTGTGGGTGGAGGGTGGTTGGAGTGTCCAAGTGTGGGTGGAGGGTGGTTGGAGTGTCAAGTGTGGGTGGAGGGTGGTTGGAGTGTCAAGTGTGGGTGGAGGGTGGTTGGAGTGTCAAGTGTGGGTGGAGGGTGGTTGGTGTGTCAAGTGTGGGTGGAGGGTGGTTGGTGTGTCAAGTGTGGGTGGAGGTGGTTGGTGTGTCAAGTGTGGGTGGAGGGTGGTTGGGGTGTCAAGGTGTGGGTGGGGGTGGTTGGAGTGTCAAGTGTGGGTGGAGGGTGGTTGGAGTGTCAAGTGTGGGTTGAGGGTGGTTGGAGTGTCAAGTGTGGGTGAAGGGTGGTTGGAGTGTCAAGTGTGGGTGGAGGGTGGTTGGAGTATCAAGTGTGGGTGGAGGTGGTTGTGTGTCCCAAATGTGGGTGGAGGGTGGTTGGAGTGTCAAGTGTGGGTGGAGGGTGGTTGGTGTGTCAAGTGTGGGTGGAGGGTGGTTGGAGTGTCAAGTGTGGGTGGAGGTGGTTGGAGTGTCCAAGTGTGGGTGGAGGGTGGTTGGAGTGTCAAGTGTGGGTTGGAGGGTGGTTGGTGTGTCAAGTGTGGGTGGAGGGTGGTTGGAGTGTCAAGTGTGGGTGGGGGGTGGTTGGAGTGTCAAGTGTGGGTGGAGGGTGGTTGGTGTTCAAGTGTGGGTGAAGGGTGGTTGGAGTGTCAAGTGTGGGTGGAGGGTGGGTGGAGGGTGGTTTGGAGGGGTCAAGTGGTGGGTGAAGGGGTGGTTGGAGTGTCAAGTGTGGGTGGAGGGTGGTTGAGTATCAAGTGTGGGTGGAGGGGGTTGGAGTGTCAGTGTGGGTGGAGGGTGGTTGGAGTGTCAAGTGTGGGTGGAGGTGGTTGGAGTGTCAAGTGTGGGTGGAGGGTGGTTGGTGTGTCAGTGTGGGTGGAGGGGGGTTGGAGTGTCAAGTGTGGGTGGAGGGTGGTTGGAGTGTCAAGTGTGGGTGGAGGGTGGTTGGAGTTTCAAATGTGGGTGGAGGGTGGTTGGAGTGTCAAGTGTGGGTGGAGGGTGGTTGGAGTGTCAAGTGTGGGTGGAGGGTGGTTTGGAGTGTCAAGTGTGGGTGGAGGGTGGTTGGAGTGTCAAGTGTGGGTGGAGGGTGGTTGGAGTGTCAGTGTGGGTGGAGGGTGGTTGGAGTGTCAAGTGTGGGTGGAGAGTGGTTGGAGTGTCAAGTGTGGGTGGAGGGTGTTGGAGTGCAAGTGTGGGTGGAGGGTGGTTGGAGTGTCAAGTGTGGGTGGAGAGTGGTTGGAGTGTCAAGTGTGGGTGGAGGGTGTTGGAGTGTCAAGTGTGGGTGGAGGTGGTTGGTGTCAAGTGTGGGTGGAGGGTGGTTGGAGTGTCAATTGCGGGTGGAGGGTGGTTGGAGTGCCAAGTGTGGGTGGGGGGTTTGGTTGGGTGCCAAGTGGGGGGGGAAAGGGTTTTTTGGGGAGTGTCAAGTGTGGGTGGGGGTGGTTGGAGTTTTTTAAGGTGGGGGGGTGGGGGGGGTTGGTGTTTTTCGGGTGGGGGTTTTGGGGGGGGGGGTTTGGGAGTTTTTAGTGGGGGTTTGGAGGGGGGTTGGAGGGGTTTCAGTGTTTACCTGGATTTTTACTTGAAGGGGGTTTTTCGGGGGGGTTCTTTGCCCCCCCAAACACCCCGGTCTGAGCCCAAAGGCCTTATTGTGGATCAGGGTTCTGAAAAACCAGGCTGTTACTGGGGCCCCACTTTAAAAAGGGACTTTAAAAAACCACAGGGGTTTGGGTGAGGGGGTACTAAAATTTTTAGGTGCCTGTCCAGTGCCCTTTCTTAAAGGGACAGCCAGGGGTCTTTTTTGGGAAAAATCCCCTTATGTATGGTGGGGGAGGCAATTAAACAGTTTTGGGCCCCGAAATTTTTGTGTTGTCTCTAGTTTTCCCATGGCCCCCTGTTTTTTCATCGGGGGGGAAATGTTGCACCCCCTTCCTGCGAGTCTTTTGCTTTCTTTTTTGGGGTGTTTTTCATGTGCGGGGTTTCTTTCCCAAATTCCTCCGGAAACCCCCCCCAATTTCTTTAATTATCATGTTGTCTCTCGCCTGTTTCGGGGAAATTTACAGATCAAGGACCTTAAAATTTTCCCCAAGTAGTTTGGGTGCCTTATCCCCACTTGTGTGTGCTGGGGAAAGTTCTTTGTACATTGTTTAATCTGCAATATCCCCAACCTTTAAAGGGGGAGGCCTTTAAAAGTGTACAGAAGCATTCCCCCCCCTGAGAGCCAAGGGGGTTTTTTGAAGAGTTCTTCATGCATTTGGGGCACCCCTTTTGTTTTAAAAGGTTCTAATTTTTCCATCCTATCATTTTCCTAGGGGTATGAGGGAGATACTTTGTTGTGGTCTTTGGGGCAAGACCTCTAAATTTTCTTTCCCCTTTGGCCCTTTCACTTTTCTTTTCTGCTCTATTGTATTTTTAAAATTTGTGGAAACCCTGCACTTTTTTTAATTTCTTAAAGTTTTCCACTTTACGAATTAGTTGAAAAAATTTCTCCTCGTTTGAATTTTTAATATTGTTTTAAAAAGTGGCCCATTGGGAAGATTTGTTTTGATATCCTTTTTAGAGTCTCGCAGTGTCTTGGGATGGAGGTCATTGCCATGGTTTGATCCGGGTGTCATCTGAAAAAAGGAAGAAAAAAGGGGGGCTAGGCTTACATCCTGTCTTGTCAAAAAAGGGATGAGGAACCCAATTTTTTTAAATTTAAATTTCCCCCAATTCAATTAAATTTTCAATTAAATTTCCCAATTTCCCAATTTCCCAATCAAGTTTTTTTTCCCTTTTAAAGGGTTAAAATGTGGGGTTTACGGGTTTTGGGTTTTTGTGGGGTTTTAATGTTTTTAAAAATACTAATTACAGGGGGGGCCACTAGGCGCCTAGCATGGCTAGGCTTTTCGACCCGGGAATTGGATTAATTTTAACTTTAAATCCTTACAGATTATGGTTTTTAAAGGTAAAATGACACATCATAATTTGTGAGTTTTGAATGTGAATGCTTTTTTTTTTGGCCCCCAATCAAAAAGTCTATATTGGAGTATCATTGACAATTTTTATGACTAGTTTGGATTTATTATTTTAAAATTAAGATTTGTATTTTTGGGTTTATAGTCAGTGGGTTTTAGTGAGTGTTTAAATTTTGAATCCCAGGTGGTTTTTAAAGTATTAGTTTTCGGGGGTTTGGGGGTCAGGGAGGGTTTAAAATTTTTTTTTAAAATGTAGTTTTGAAAGTGTGGGAAAGTGTCTGCAAATTTTTTGAGTTTTCAGGGGGGGTTTTTCCAGATTTTGGTCCTTTTTAAATTCATTTTTTTTGTAAAGGGTTTTGTCGAAACGGGGGGGAAATTTTTAGAGATGGTTTTTTTTTGTCTGGTGTTTTTGCCGTGGGTCCCGTCAAAAACTATCAAGAAAAACTTTTAGGTCAAGGTTAATATTGGAATTTAAGGTCCTGTAGATTAGATTTCACAGTTAAATTTAAATGTGGATGTTCTGGAAAAGGGGGTAAATTTTTTTAAACTAAAGAAGGGGAGGGGGGGGGGGTTTTTGCCGGGGTGGGATTTAGTGATTATTCTTACTTTGCTGCTTTTTGTTGGGTTATTATTTGGGTTTAGGTGTGTTGCTGCAGTTGAGCTCCAAGCACCGTAGCCTAGGTGAGGTATGGATATATTAAGTGGAATTTGGGTTTTTTAGGGTGAGAAGGGCAGTTTGGGGGACTTGTACGGAATTTTTGGAGGGATCCCCCCCG